CCAGGACCATTGTCTCCAAATTTGGACATGAATTTACCATCTTCGTCAAAGACCTGGATTCTGTTGTTCAAGCAATCCGCCACAATAACATGTCCTTCATCACTAATGAAAATTCCTTGAGGTGCTCTAAATTCGCCATCTCCAGTCCCTCTCTTCCCAAAGCTCTTCACAAAGTTCCCTGTCTGTACATTGAATTGTTGAATTTGGCCATTATCGTCATCCCCCACCAGAACCTCGTTATCATTCAGGAATGTAATTCCAGCTGGATTAGCCAGCTGCCCAGGCCCTTCTCCATAGCAGCCAAATTCTCGCACAAAATTTCCATTTTTATCAAATATTAGGATGCAGTGTTCTTCATTGTCACTCACAGCGATCGTTCCTTTGCTGTTGACAGCAATCCAATCTGGCCTCTCGGGAATTTCTCCTTTGAGAACTAACTCCCCCATAACATCAATCCTTCGTTCCTTCACTTGAACCCTAAGAGGACTGGTAACAAGTTTGTCGCCATTTATCATAACTGTAATGTTGAAGGTGCCAGGTACTTTAGGAATAAACTTCACGTGGATATCATCATTTTCGTTTTTAAAAGTTCTTAAACTTGTTACATCTTCAGCTGGTTCTATGAGCACTCTAACATCAAATTCACGCTGGCATTTACTTGTAAGCTCTTCTTCACTCTTTCGCTTTGGACAAATCAGAAGCTCTGCTTCCACACCAGCTTGGAGGTTTTCAGTAAGAGCTTCCATTGATGACAACCGTACATCTATTTCATTGGTTTCCACCGACCCCAGGTTTAGGTTGTCAAGTGCATTAGTCGAGAAAAACTTTACGAATGAGCTAACCGGAAGCGAAGGGACTGTGGCCTTGTCGAGATCTCCAAATCGCTGCTCTAAACTCTTCTTACTTTTCATAACATCTGAACTGGAGCTTCTCTCAACCAGGTCTTTTGCAAATTGAACAGCTTGGTCAAGTTGTTTCATCAGTGACTTAACTTGTTCGTTAAGAGAGTTTATTTTCTCTATTCTAGACACGCGTGTATTCTCGAGGACTTTTGTAGCTTCCCGCTCGTGTTCTCGAATCTTCGCGATCATTTGTTTGGCTGTTTGGGAAACCTCTCGTTTAGCAGCGGTAACATTTTGTTCCAGCTCTTCATAAACCTGTTGAAAAGTTTTAATGGCATCGCTACAGACTTTCTTCTTTCGTTCTATCGACTCGACTGCCGCCATAATGTTTGCTTTCTCGGCATCTGCTGCTTTCTCAAGCGGATCAACATTATGATTCTTGTGATCAGTGTTTATGCAAACTTGACAAACACAAACTTGGCATTCAAGGCAAAAAAACCTGGTTACCTCTCTCTCGTGGTAAGGCTGAGGGCAAAAGGACTGACGCTTTAACAAGGCCTCGTAGTCTACGGCTTGAAACTGTTTCACTGCCGTCACTCTGTGTCCACGAAAGGCCCTCTCTTGAAACAATTCGTGTGCATTAACACAGTCACGGCACAATAATTCTTCGCAAGCGAAACAATAGCTGATCTCGGCGCTCTTTTTCTTACAGATACCACAACTGATCTGACTTCCATCGCTACTTTGCCGTACGGCGAGAAGACTCAACAAACTGTTTTGCAGAAAACCAGTCGGCAAATTACCGAAACAATTTCCTTCTAGGATGTTCACTTCCGCCTGACAATCGGGACATCGAAATCGTCCTTGTCTTTGGGTTCTCAAAGCGTGCTCTTCTAAACATTTCAAGCAGAATGTATGAAGACAAGCTATGGTCTTAGGTTTAGTGTAAGTATCCAGACAAATGGAACAAGTAACATGTTTTTCGAGATTTTTCAAGAGAGACTCCATCACGTTGGCAGATTGCGAAATTAGAGCGAAACGAAACACACGTGACTATTGTTTGTGCACAGGCAGACCACACGTAGTGTTCTTGGTTAATAACAAGTGTTTACTTGAGACGGACTAAATCTCTGTGGGTTACGAATAAAGAAAATAAAGCTCTGAAAATTGTATATCTAAAGTACCTCCCGGTCTGAATATTTCAATAAAGATAAATGAAATGTTAATCGACGCATTTGTGATATTTTTTAGCCTTCATGGACCGTTTGAAGCGTCTTTTTACAAAATTACTTTTGGCCAGAGGCCGTTAAGACTGAGAACAAAGGGAGCGAAGAGATAGAGCAACATCTCCTCGATCAACAACCGTTGTTAGTTAGGAGAGATTTTCAGTATTTTGGCGTTAATTCCAGTTTGAAGCGGAGGAGGTCGTGGCTGGCGGCCATCAAGATGCAAGCCTTGCCTCCCTTTCATGTCTTAACGGCCTCCGGCCAGAAGTAATTTCGTAAAAAGACGCTTCAAATGACCCACGAAGGCAAAAAAATATCAGCCAGATTACAGCCTACATGTAGCCTTACCCTCCCCCCCCCCCCTCCGCCAGGGTGAATGGGGAGGATATGGCTACACCTAGGCTAGCCAGATTAAAATCTAATATGATAGCTTTTTATGTTCGCCTACCAAGCAGATTAAACCTCGTGACCGTTTTATTTTTGGAACAGATGTAAGTAACACAGTAAGTTGTACTTTTATTTAAGAATGGCTCTTGTTCTGTAACTGATAGCAGATAAAAAGGAGCTTTTTATCGTAAATAGTATTTGATGTCACAAGGAAGAATTTCTAATTATAAAATAGTAAAAGTCATTTTTATCTGGGCGAGAAATAAAAGGACGAATCAACTACATCGGAAGTGCTTAGCCTTGCAAACAAATAGGACAAGTAACATGTTTTTTGAGATTCTTCAAGAGACTCCATCGCGAAAGCAGATAACGAAATCAGAGCGAAATGAAACACACTGTGTATTGTCTGTGATTCCGAGAAACAGCCAGATTAAAATTTAGTATGATAGCTCTTTATGTCCGCCAACCAAGCAGATCGAACCTTGTGACCTTTTATTTTTGGAGCCGAAGTTAAGTCACACAACAAGCTCTTTAACAATAGGCTCGTGCTCCATTGTTTTCTGTTACTGAGAGCAGATGAAAATATGTTTTTGCAATGAATATTCCTTATGTAAAATAAAAACTATTCCTCAGCAGTGATTAGATACGTGGGCTTCACAAAAGTTTAGCTCGTGAATTTGTAAGATTTGAAACAAAAATCACTAGATAAGGCTTGATGAATTCGCTCGTTATGCAGCATGCCTCGTTAATTTCATTTCAGATTAGAGCCCTCATGAAAAGCAGATGATATACAAATACATGAATTTCATACAAAAGAACGCGAGGTGTAGAACTCTGCCTGTAAACAAAGGTATAAGTTATTGACGTACAATCCTGAAAGAACTCGAACTACTAATAAAAAGGGGGGCATGGGGAATAAAACCGTGGTTTTACCGATAGCTCATTGATTAATAAATAATGAAATAGCCTTTTACATCTTTTTCAGCCTTCAATATTCTCGACGGTCATACTTATCACTAGTAGATAGGACCTGACCGCAGCCTCCTCTCAGCTGACCTTGATTAATGTTATCCAATGAAAAACTATACAATTTTCTATTCAAAGTGACTTATGCCAATCTCGAGCCCAGGGTCATTTTGGCTCCTTGTCAGCGATATGGTGACAAGGAGCTACTAATAAAAAGGGGGGCGGAGTGGAATTAAAACATTATGACACTATTTGGCGACTATACCGCTGACAAGAAGCCAAAACGACTATGGGCTCGAGATTGGGCCGGTCACGGATCCATCACAAGATTTATCTGAATTTTTAGAAGCCGAAATTATGACCTGATGGCTTCCATGCAAAGAAAATCCGTTGATGAATAAATTAGTTGTAGTTGCAACTAGTTTTTGGTTAGAAAAAAAAAACAACAACAAATCAACTTTATATTCCAAGACCTCGAGTAGCTGAATGCCATAGATACTCAATGTGTTTAAGATCTGTTCACAATTTATCTTTCCAGGACCATTTTCCCGGGCATTTTAATTTAGATTCTTCCATTTCTCGTGAGTCTTATTTTTTTTAAAATTCAATTTGTATACTTAATCAATTAAAATATAATTTCATTACTGAAGGCAAAGACTGTTAACAAAATCACACATTTATTTTTGCATCCAGTCTTTGATAAATGAGTGCACAGCTATACCACTTTTCTTTCGTTACATAAACAGTTCATTTACAATGCAAACTCTCCTAAGATCTCTAAAATATTATACCACAATCATAAATTCACGGTCTCTTCATAATCAGAAGTAATGGCATGCTTGCGATGCATTGTCATTATATATGAAGTTTTGCTCAATCAAAATATCAGTCACATATCTTTACATATCTACATTTATCGTAAGAGATATTTGGCAAATTTACAACCCAATAAACTAGATACCAAAATTGAACGAGTCTACTTTTCTAATGTTCTAGTTTCTTCTAGAAAAATTATCATTAAACGACGAAAAAGAAAAAATTTATAGTGCCAGCATCTCTATAGTTGCATGAATATCTTAAAGTAACTAATTTGTATATTCTAGTCCAGTTCTGCAGATTGAAAGAAATTCACATAAGGATACCAGACAAGCTAAAACTAGAATATTATTTCCAGAGTAACAGTTGTTTTTTAGTCCTATCCTGCAAAATTGAAACTACATGACAATCTAAAACTACAATATTCTTTCCGGTGTTTAATATTGACAAAGGAACCTGGGACCGAGGGAGCTCGATGTTTCAATACACACGGCGGAGAGGATCGCGGTCTCAACTGATACATGCACTCCTGGAAATTGAGCTATGGGAGGAGGTGGAAGGTCGCGTTAGTCCGCTTTTCAATACATACATCCCAAGCACCTGAAAGATCTCTAAACAAATCATATTTAAGGGTAAAAAAAAAAATAAATATAAAAATTATTTGATTGCTGGTGTAATGATAAAAGTTCTAACTTTGTTCCTATTCCCACATTATTATTATTATTACTATTATTACTCCTTTTGCCAAAAAACATTTAAGTGTCTATTTCAAGATATATATGGTTTTGTCTTCATAATCACAAACCAAAATATGATCATCTGGTGTTGTAGCTATTGTTTTCGGATCTTTTAGCTTAATAACAGTTTTACCAATAAAACGACCTTCCATTGTAAACTGTTGAATGCGTTCATTATCTCTGTCACACACCAAAAGATTCAGATGATCGCCATATTTCTCAAAACACAAATCCCGTGGACATGAAAACTGGCCATCAGCTTCGCCTTCTTCTCCAATCTTGTACAAGAACTTCCCTGATTTGTCAAACACTTTCAAACAATGGTTTTTACTGTCAGATACAATGAACTTGTTTTTGTGATAAATGCATCCACTAGGTTCGTTTAGCTCACCAGGGCCGTGGTCTCCAAATGTGAACATAAATTTACCATCTTTGTCCAAGACCTGGATTCTGTTGTTAGAGCAATCCGTTACAATTATATGTCCTTCATCATTTATGAAAATTCCTTCGGGTGCCAGAAATTTGCCGTCTCCAGTCCCTTTCTCTCCAAACCTCTTCACAAACTTCCCTGTCTGTACATTGAATTGATTAATTCGACTATTCAATGCATCCACCACGAGAAGCTGGTCATCATTCAGGAATGTCACTCCAGCTGGATTAGCCAGCTGCCAAGGCCATTTTCCATAGCAGCCAAATTTTCGCGCAAAATTTCCATCCTTATCAAACATTAAGATACAGTGTCTTTCATCGTCAGCTACAGCGATTGTTCCTTTGCTGTTGACAGCGATCCAATTCGGACTTACGGGAATTCCTCTTTTTAGAACTAACTCGCCCACAACATGAATTCGTCGTTCCTTAACTTGGATCCTGAAAGGACTGGTAACAAGTTTGAAGCCATTTATGATGACGGTCATGTTGTAGGTGCTAGGTATTTTAGGAACAAACTTCACGTGGAAATCATCATTTTCGTTCTCAACAACTTTTAAACTTGCTACATCTTCAGCGGGTTCTATGAGCACTCTAACGTAAAATTCACGCTGGCATTTCCTTGTAAGCTCTTCTTCACTCTTTCGCTTTGGACGGCAAATCACAAGCTCTGCTTCCAGACCAGCTTGGAGGTTTTCAGTAAGAGCCTCCACTGATGACAACCGTACATCTGCTTCATTGGTTATCACTGGCCCCAGGTTTAAGTTGTCAAGTGCATTAGCCGAGAAAAACTTCACGAATGAGCTTACCGGAAGCGAAGGGACTGTGGCCTTGTCGAGATCTCCAAATCGCTGCTCTAAAGTCTTCTTACTTTTCATAACATCTGAACTGGAGCTCCTCTCAACCAGGTTTTTTGCAAACTGAACAGCTTGATCAAGTTGTTTCATCAATGACTTTACTTGCTCGTTAAGAGAGTTTATTTTCTCTATTCTAGACACGCGTGCATTTTCGATAATTTTTGTAGCTTCCCGCTCTTGTTCTCGAATCTTCTCAATCATTTGTTTGGCTGTTTGGGAAACCTCTCGTTTAGCAGCGGTAACATTTTGTTCCAGCTCTTCAACAACTTGTTGAAAAGTTATAATCGCATCGCTACAGACTTTCTTCTTTTGTTCTATCGACTCGACTGCCGCCATAATGTTTGCTTTCTCGGTATCCGCTGCTTTCTCAAGCGGATCAACATTATGATTCTTGTGATCAGTGTTTATGCAAACTTGACAAACACAAATCTGGCATTCACGGCAAAAAAACCTGTTTACCTCTCTCTCGTGGTAAGGCTGAGGGCAAAAGGACTGACGCTTTAACAAGGCCTCGTAATCTACGGCTTGAAACTGTTTCACTGCCGTCACTTTGTGTCCTTGAAAGGCACTCTCTCGAAACAATTCGTGTGCATTGACACAATCACGGCACAGTAATTTTTCGCAAGCAAAGCAATAGCTGATCTCGGCGCTCTTTTTCTTACAGATACCACAACTGATCTGACTTCCATCGCCACTTTGTCGTACAGCGAGAAGACTCAACAAACTGTTTTGCAGAAAACCAGTCGGTAAATTATCGAAACAATTTCCTTCTGGGATGTTCACTTCCGCCTGACAATCGGGACATCGAAATTGTCCATGTCTTTGGGTTTTCAAAGCGTGTTCCTCTAAACATTTCAAGCAGAAGGTATGAAGACAAGCTATGGTCTTTGGCTTGGTGTAAGTATCCAGGCAAATGGAACAAGTAACATGTTTTTCGAGATTCTTCAAGAGAGACTCCATCACAAAGGCAGGTTACGAAATCAGAGCGAAACGAAATTCACCCGTGTATTGTTTGTGATTCAGAGAAACATCAGTCCGATTAAATATGATAGCTTCTTATGTCAGCCAACCAAACAGAATTGGTGACCTTTTATTTTTGGAGCGGATGTAAGTAACACAAGAAGTAGCATGGTTATTTATGGCTCTTGTTCCGTTCCTTTCTGTGACTGATAGCAGATGAAAAGGAGATTTTACAGTAAATAGTATTTGATATCATAAGATGGCATTTCCAGATATTAAATAATAAAAGCGATTTTTATCCGGGCGAGAAATAAAAGGTTGAATTTACAACTTCGGAAGTACGTTAATTAGATAATTGGCCGGACGGCCCTTTCGCGTGAGTGGAAGGCAAGCGCTACATGTAAAGGGCGTCAAGGAGTGTTGACAATATTTCCCTCCATCATTGCAAAAACTAGATATTATTCATAAGGCATTTTAAAAGGCTTCAGAATAAATTTAATTCAAACATGACTTATGATATAAAACAAAATCGACTGTCTTCAATTCTCACTTTAAATAAACTACTTTCATTTCTTTCTTGTCTTTAGGCATCTTTGATGCATTCTACTGTTGTTATTACGTCTTTGTCAAATAAAAGTTTTGTCCTTAATAAATCATTTTCAGTGACAAAATTATTTTACTCATAAATTCATTTTCTTGCTTCCATCTCATCTTGGACAAAACTAAACGCATCTGCTTTACCGGATTTTCCGACAAAACTAAACCCAGTTTTTTGACTCGACTGTTTTGGAAGTCTTAAAGGGATTGTAGACGGGTCACACATAACAGGCGATTGAAGAACTGGATGGGAGTTAAAAGGAAATTGTATAATTTTGTATAGCTGTCGTGCTCTTTGTGGTCCGCTGGCAGGTAACGTGACATTTGGTTGTGTAGTTCTGTTGTGTGACAATTCGTCCACATTCCCGAAAATTTGTGAACCCCTTCTACTTTACTGAGACAGAGCCGGCGCTATTTACACTCAAAAAGTTTGTTGAACGTAAATTGCCGTCCTAAGGTGATATTAAACTGTTGCCGTAGCTCACAAGTTGGGGATCCCTTAGAACGTTTGTCTTTGAATTCAAATAGTAATTCTCTCTTGCTTCAGTAATTGAAGCCAAATTGGATTGCGTGACATGATTTCCAACAGCATTCTGAAGTTACTGTCCGTTAGCAATGGATCAAACAGATCTGTCACGCTGTCCTTGGCGGCTTCTTGGGCGTTAGCTTGTTTGACGGGGGTTGATCATGTGATATCCTCTTTAACGGAAAACAAATCATCTAAGTCAGATTTAGTACCCTTTATCTCTTTGATTTGTAGTATTGTTTTCTTCTAAAGGTGTCACTCCCACTTGAAAGATCAAGTCCTTAGAACACATCCATTACTCCCCTAGAAGATTTCATCTCTGAAACAGTAGTGTTGGAATCAAACAGTGCTGATATTGTAGTTGAGTCTGTTTGCTGTACATGGAAAGGAAAACGAAAGTAACTACCTTTAGTTTATATGCTTTGAGTTGCTAATTGACGGAGGATTTTTAGTCTTACCGAACGCAAACTCATTCCAGTAAATGGAGCAAGACTTCGATCTGCTGTTGACTGAAGTGAGGAGTCTACAGTGTCTCCAACCTGCAAGATATAAAGAGACAAAGATTACCAACTTAACAGTCAGAATTGAAGGGTGAATTCAACTCTTATTCATCATGGTAAAAGAGAATATTGCTAAATGGATGCATTTTCCTGAGGCGAAATTGTACTGTTGATGTACCTAGTCATTTGTGGATCTCCTTAAAGGTTTGTCTTTGAATTATTTCTTGCTTCTTAAATTGAGGTCACATAGGATTGCGTGACTTGATCTCCAAGGGAATTTGTATAATTATGGCTGCTTGACTACAAACTTAGAATCCAGTCATGTCAAAAAAACCTAAAACCCATAGATATTACTAACATTGGTACAAGTACTTTGACTCTGTTATAAACACACTGCACCATCTTAGAGAGAGTTACCCTAACTACTTGGCATAATAAGCCATTTCCTCTGAATAAAAAGACACATCAAAAGTGGGGGGGAGGGGGGTATTATTGTTAGAATAACCCTACCACTAAGGTGACCTTGCCTGGCATATCTGTAGGGTGAGGGTGGGGTTATCCCATGGAAAGACTTCCAAAAATAGCTCTGGGTACTGATAACCTGGAAAAGATCACAGATGGAAACATCTAGTACTGATTTCTCCATTCATGTTCTTCATATGTTATTCCATCTCTTGCAAACACTGATTACTGCTAGTTCTTTCCTTCTGAAGGTTGTCACAATGATTTAGGCCAAAATCTGTGATCTGTATTATATGCATCATGCTTACCTTTCTCAGTTCCCTCTGTTTTTCCTTTTGCATTCATACAAGATCTAAGTAAAAACAATATATTTTTTCTGTCACTATGTGTATGATGCATATTTACACACATGATATTTCACAAAGCAAATCATTCCACATTAAGTAAATTAATCTGATCCACTCACCTTTGTAGCCTTGGATAAAACACTACCACTTTCTGATTTTGTAATTCCTTCCAAATTTGTGCAAAATCAATACATTCTTGAAGCCACATAAGGAATATCACTCTTTAAAAGGAGCTTCAAAACATGTAGTGACTTCTGCAAAAATAAAAATTTGAAGTCCATAACCTTACAAAAAAAAACAAAAAATTAGCCACAATTTAACTTTGAATAGAGCCCATTAAATTCATAAATTAAACCATCCCAAATTTGAAATAGTACAATAGTTTTGTACTTTAAATAGTATAATCTCTCCAATCAAAATTAAGGCTTGGTAAGAGTCTTTCACTTGGTTGTCACATGATGAGCTTTGATGGTGTCTAAGCGTTATAAAAAAAAACTCATCAAAACCAGGATGAGCTTGAAAAAAATTAAGGTCCAAGCAGAATCCATTCAAGTTTACTATCTTTGTTTTGCTTATTAGTTTGAGTAGTTTGGAGTTTGGCAGTGATATCCTGATATGAATCTGCTGAAATAAACATGCAAAGATTAGTCCACAACAAGACTAGTCTTTGCACCTTATTCTTTGATAAGTGTATAGGTTCTTTAAGGTCTAATATGATTCATATGATTTTGCTTTAAGGAACTTATATCATAAAGCTGCCACAGACCAACACATTGACTTATGAATTAAAATTTGTGGAGGTCCATTGCATTGAAATTATTGAACTCAATCAGATCAGTGCCATCTTTTAATACTTTTAAAAACACCATAAGAAAATTAGACCCGCTAAGTCTATCTTGATCACAATTTATTTTCAAATAAATTCTTTTAAAATATCATTAAGATTTCTATTAACTGGTAATCTTTCTTTATGGTTATTGTACCAAATTTTTAAACTTCTTATAGGAATGTTATTTCACAGCCAAAATAATTTTAATCATAATAATTATATTACATTTATTCCAATTATTCTAATTTCATCTTCTGTGTCATAACTGAAAACTAGCTGGTAAGTGTTGCTCACAATAGCTAAGTGTAATTACTCAATAAACCAGTATGTATGCAAGGTCCCTTCTGAGTCATACCAATGAAAAAACAGGAGAAAAGTTTTTTGGTTTAGACTCCCCAAGAAGGCCAGAATGCCCACTTGTAGAGGTAATTTTATAGACTTCGCATTCTACTCAGTTGTTTTAACCACCAAACTATTTCTTTGGTCTGGGACTCAAACCCCTCATACATGTGCAACACTTTGAATTTAAGTTTTTCTCTGTTTTTAATAGTTTTCTGGAGGTCATGATCATCATCATCATAATAATAATATACTGATCTTTACAGATAATTTTACGAGATGGACTGACCAATACTGAAATTACCTTAAATTTTGTGCCCTCTTCCCCATACTGTAAAGTAATTACAGGGTTCCTACCCTTTTTCAAAAACACATTTGCTGGACTTTTGCAGGACTCAGACATATTTTTTCCAGGACTCCAAATCTCACCTTAAAGCCTTTCACTCCCAAGATTTCAACTTAAATTCTCCTCATGGTCTAGAAACATTTTTTAAAAGTGTAAATTGTGAAATATTTATTGCTTAACCCTTTAACTCCCAGGAGTGATTAACATGTAACCTCTCCCTACAATAACCATACATTATCCAGCAGACCAGTAATGAGAATATACTTTAAGTTAACAGGCAGAAGATGTTATCTTAATCTAACACCAAATTTTCACAACTGATTGATGTGGAAATGTCCTAGCTAGAGGGCAGAATGAAAATCAGATCTTGGGAGTTTAAAAGTGTTAAATTTAACAGATTTCCAGGTCTTTCCAGGCCCAGTAGTCTTTTTCCAAGATCAAATAAGCAATTTAAATTAAGTTGTTAGTTTAACTGTTATGCACATGGAAAGTTAATTCTTGTTTATAGTATTTAGTATAATTATTCTCATTTAATTTGCTACCAATTTACCTGTGATATGGCAGATTATCTCCAACCAGATGATTGATCAGAAATGCTGAGAGGCTGGAGTCTATAATAAGTTCCTGTCCCAAAATATAATTAGTAAATTAAAGAGAAAATATTTACTTAACACACCTGGTGTAAATTCAAACTGCTGTTGTACTCCTGGTCCTATACCCATTGCATGCCAAATATCTTCTCCTAATCCAAACCTGCAGGCATTCTCAATATCCTGATAGTGTAGAATGCAGTAGAATTTTTTGTGGTCTGGAACATAGCAGTAATGAAAGTGGTTTAGCCAGAGTTACAAATTGCACAAACAAAGTAGCTTTTGTAAGACACATGATTTTTCATTGCCACATGCAACCAAGAATGTCTACAAGTCTGCCACATTTTGGTTGGTCACACCTGTTTGTCTGAATTACAGAGATGTTGGTGGTATTGGCATTTTGATGGCTACCCTGCAAAAAAAGCAATATTACCAAATTAAAACTTAAAGTAAACACATTATTGTTTAAACCGTCATCTACCAAGTAAGATTACTAAATAAAATGCAGAAAGATGCTAAAAAGTGTATTGAACAAGTTCTGATTAATGTTTAAAACTGACATTTCCTGCTAGGTCAACCTCATGATCCAAAGGTTTTTTTTATATCAATTATCAATAAATGTACTCTAAGACAAACAAAAACTTACACAACTTAAACTGGTTAAAAATCTTACACCAAAGGAAAATGTAAATCACAACTTATGCATCCAAAGAAATAGTAAGTATGTAAACAACATGAAATAGTTTATTGCTTGTTTTAAATCCCTTAGACAAGTGAAGGCTTTCTTCCAATTAAAGTCAAGTTTTCAGACAAGTCTGGGCAGCTGCTCACCAAACACAGTGGATGATTCTATTGAAGGACTTCTCACAATGGCAATAAACTCCAAAATTGGCCTGAGAAGCTTAAAAAATCACCATGCATGTCCACATTAGTCAGCAGAGAAATCTGGTATTAATTTTTGCTGGTTATTAGATACTCCATAACTGTTATCCGACATGTCTCTAGCTTAGACTGTTTACACCTGCAAATTACATTAAACAGTTTAAAGAAGTATTATCTAACTTAGAGATATCCCTTCTAAACTCAGGACCCTCTTGTTATTATCCCTAGTGTTGGCTGCCTCAGTGTAATATAAAAACAAACAATTCAAGTTTTGTGATCTCATGAATACAATTTTAAATATTAAGTAAGACTTGTATTACAGCTTCCACTACAAGCAGTTCCCACCATGGTTGCAACATTATACATAAAAAAAAATGTTTATTTTTTGTTTGCTTATACCAGTTGGAGCTTTTGAGACTAATTTGCAAATTCCTGAAGCTCATGGAAACATCTGCAACCACCCAGTGTATAGGGAATGAACCAACAAACTTTGCTGTGTACATGGGTGCATACATGAAAAAGTTTTTTGGTGCATGATTACCTCCACAAGAAGTTCAATTTAAACAGACGAGAATATATCTAAATCTTTGAATCTACTTTTTCCCTGCCCTGCAATTTCTTAAAAAACTTAAGCATAATTCAATTCAGCAGCTTTCTCTTTCAAGATCAACCTCCTGTTGTATTTTCTAGTGACAAATCTGAGAACAACTGAAATGTTTATTAAAATGAAAATGAAAGCTCAGTGAAAAGATGGACAGCTTATATTTACACCCACTGAATCTAAACCCCTTTCAAATTTTCACACAGACATTGTGTTTTCACTTTACAGATGTGGACATTCTTTTGAGTTGCCATGGTTGCTTTTGGTAGTTTCTATCCAGCTGTTTGAAGGAGGCAGTGGCCTAACAGTTTATGTTTTTAATTCAGCATTGAAAGACACATGTTTAAGACCTGACAAGGTCAAGTGTTCTATTCTTGGGCAAGTCTCTTTACAACCTTAGTGCTTTTCACCATCCAGGAGTATAAACAGGCAACAGATAACTGTCAGGGAGGCCTGATAAAAGACCTAGGGAAAACTTTGATGAACTAGAATCACATCCAATGGGAGTAACAAAACTCAAAGTCACACCCAATGAAACAGAAAAAGATAACCTCATCATTTTGCAATCATACCTGGAGTTGATGGCAAAGAAAGTGCAAATGTTGTCCTCTCATCTTTGTTTCCAATCAACTGCTTCTGTTTTGGTGCTGCTAAACTTTGCTCAAGTAAAGGTTTTGGCTTCACATTTTTCTTTTCAGCTTCAGCCTGCAACTTTTTTTCAAACTCAGTCATACCCAGCCCTGTCAATGAATGAGATCTTTTATGCACATGTCTGATAAATTACACCTGCACTTCAGGTGGCAAATCATGAGGTTTACCAACACCTTCCCATGATCCTCCATTTCCATGCAGTGCTAATTCCTCAGGAGGGATGTTAGGTAGTTTCTTCTTGGATCTGCGAGTTGTGGAGTCACTGACAGATGTCACGATCAAATCTCTCTTGTGATGCTTGTTCAGTTGTGGTTCAATGAGTGAACTATCCCAGAATCCTACAATGCAGCGTCAGTTTTAATGAACAGAAAAAAGAACAACCAAAAGATTAATGACCCCACATAACAATGAGTAATCCACAAATAAAACTGCAAGACTGACCATTAGGGAAGCTGAACTGAAAAATAATTATTCTTCATGGACACATGCACTTTTGATGAAATCCCATCTATTAACCACAGCTTCACTGATAAAAAAAAAGCTTCAGCTGTTTATGTAAATTACATCTGAATTGATACAAAGAAACTGGAAAAGAAATTTTAGAAACAAGAATACCTATAGAAAATCACAAGAATGGGACAAATGAAAAATTCTGAGTCCCACAAGGAATAGAACTTCAGACTTTCGGATTCCACTCTCTGATGCTCTACCTCTGAACTAAAGAGGAGCTATAGTGAGCAAAGCCCATTACAAAGTTCATATATGACATGCCTCCTGCATACCAGTAGGATCATCAAAGTTGCTGGTGTCATGTTTTGTGCATGAAATTTGTAATGGGCCTTGCTCACCAGAGTCCCTGTGGCTCGGTGGTATAGCATAGGAGCACTCAGAATTTTGCCTTGTCCAAGACAGAAAAAAAATCTCTCCCTAGTCCTTTTCCAAGCTCAAACCTTTCCATCTTTCTTATTCTACTTACAAGAATACCTATATTACAGACTACATATTTATTTTAAAGACTACATTGAATATTCTGTCATTTGTCCAAATTCAAACAAAGTGAAAGATGATTTTTTCATCAGTCTAACTCAGGCATAACAGTAGAAAGGAAATCATAAATAAAAACCCTGACCTTAATTTTTTGTCTAATCTTTGGAACCCTTATGTAACTTCATAGTATTAATGTTATCACTTGAATTCAAGCTGGAAAATAGGAATTGATTTCATTCTATAACTTAACTTTTTGCTTTTTCTTTTTTTTCTCAGGTACAGTGATAAACAATGATGATAAATTTGACAGGAATAGAAAATAATCCTCTCTTCTTTTAGATGTTTCACTACTCCTACACCCTATCAATTTCAAGCAGCACAATTTCAGTCTCTTTTAAATTCAATGAATATAAATCAATAAACTAATAAATAAAGCATAAAATTCATACTATAATTGCACATTCATATCCTATGAAAGATGTGTCTTAGAAATGTCCATTTTTCTGTATCCTTGCTTTTTAATCACATCTCTCAATTTATTTATCTAAGACATCAGACCACTAGCCTTCTCTAGATTTATTCAAAATAGCTTGATGATTGGACAAAGTGACAAATTTTAAGGAAGAAATTAACTCTAATAATGCGAGGGTGGCTTTAACCCTGTACACCCTAACATCACTATGCATATTCTCCATACTGTTCTCTATACATTTTCTTGGGTGCTGACAAGGAGAATTTGTCCAATAATAAAGAGCTTCTTTAGCTTTTTTTGGCTTTAATACCATCAGGCAAAATCATCCCACATGGTATCTCTTGTTAGTCTCGTGTCTTTTGTTTTTGATAATTTTTGGCATAAAAAGGCACTACAATGATTCTTCAGACCAATATTTTGAACCTAACATGAAAGTAAAACTGTGATTAACAATAAGTAGGATCAGTAGAAGAGATCTTGACTTTTATTATTTCGGTCAGGAACAATGTAATTCCAATATCTACAGGGATTTTGACAGAACGCAGTATATGATAATTGATTGTAAACTTCTCAGACTGAGATACATAATACCTTATTGTATGGTCTACTTGTACCAACCATTGTTTCATGTTCATTTGCCAAAGACGCTTGCTTAAAGTTGGGTAGATACCCACTTCAAATCTTATTGAGGACCGTAATCTACTTCATCGCCCCTAATCAGAATTATGAAGGAAAACTTCCAACTGAAAATGCCTACCGTGAATGTCACGCCAAAATATCAAATGTGGAAATAGCGAAGAAACATAATGCAAAGATCTAGATAAAAGAGCCACACAACATCTTAGACTGATCCTTGAACAAAATTAAGTAACGCGTGTTTTAGAAAGTATCCCGTTTTACATTTTAGTTTTCAAAGCAAAAGCTATCATAGGCAAATTATTCCTCAAAAATTTAAAGGTAAAATATAGAGTGGGCCACTCACCATATAAACAACTTACACGTCAAGAGTTAGATCCGTAAATGAAGGTGAATGCGACAGCTAATCAACGATATAGCATCGAGGACGTTTGGTTGCTGAGGCTCGTTGCATTTCTAAGGAGGATAATCACGCTATAATCCAGTAAAGTTTCCTCACCGAGCGGCAAAACCACAGTCTGAATAGTGATAGTAATTCATCTAAAGGAGGACTGGACATTTATGTAAGCTAGCAAGACAAATATGCATTTTTTCGCTCTAGAACCGACCGGATACACCTTTTCTACGCAGTCCTTGAGTAAATGATCCATCAAATGCTGTCATTGGTAAACAACTGAGCTCACATCCCCTTCCTTCGAAGTTCTGTTCCTCGTTGAAACAAAAATGCATTTGTTCATAGCAGGGTCAAACTGCACGAAGTATGCCATAGATGTGGGCTTTACAAAAGTCAAAAACGTAGCTTGCAAGACCTTTATAAACAGTTGTTGATACCAAGCAAGAAGGGCGCCGCAAGTAACAGTGATTTTTCAAATTAAGCATCGCGTCCACGACACTTCGGTAGACATTTTACAACTCCTCGCCTAGTAGTAGACAGGCACATCTGTTTTAGCGCAATACATGATGGGATTAATTAAAAACTCGTGGGAAAACGAGGGCGTTTGGTTTAACAACTGAATTACCCTCCAAAACACCGTATTTTTACCACAACATGCACTCCTCTAAATTATCACTTATTTTTCAAATAACTGTGAACTCTGTGAGTTAAAATTCCTTTGAACCATCGTACTATCAAACCTCTCTTTTTCTTGATTGTGGCTAGTTTATCAAATGAGTGGCTCGGCGTTTAAAAGGAGGTGAATTACAATAAAATAAGCTGTATGGGAATTTAAAAGGCTATCCACATCCATTTAGTAGCAATGAATGTGTAAGAGTGGTCAAATTCACGATAACTATAGGGTTGGATTCCGGGAATTTGATGAGAAACCACCTCGTAAGAAAGTTGCTTGGGGTTTGACTGTATTTTGTTGTAAAGATAATCGTTTTAGTATCGATAGTTTGACTCTGAAATCGATAGCTACTCTATATCGTAGGAAAACTAAATCGTGACAAAAATGATCAAAGGTTCTTTTAAGATAAACCTCGACGAGCAACCACGTATCCACGATGAACAAATCCATGTTTTCAGGAGACAATAGTTCCTCTTCTGAGTTTTTTAGAACTGTTATTCCAGATTCGTTCACATACAAATATTATCAAACAGGACGGACGGTCTCGTTACAATTCTCTTCCAAAAGTTTTTTTTTCAGTAATTAGCCAGTTGCTTAAATTTTCCTTCCCCCTCCCCCCCTCAGGTTTCATGATTTAAAGATGGCTCATACCCATGAAGCCTCAAGAAAAAAAACATGTAAGAAATTTTCTATAGTAAACCACTTTTAATTTAATTTACGCTTCAATGATTGGTTTGCTAATTATAAAGTTAGTTCTACATTTCAAAGTCTCCTCTGACCACTTATTTTAGTTAAAGAATTTGTTATTACTATAAATTTATAACTTATTTTCTTCATCATGAACAATGATCAGAAATTATTTCTTCTTTACGCAGTTACCTTGTCTACTGTACTCATCAACCGACTTAGAATCGCCTATACCCATGCTTTCAAAGTAGCATGTTTGGTATTTGAGTCTTAGTTAGCCAAGGAACAAAGTCTTTGCACAAAAGCTTCCTATTTCAATAAAAAAAAATCTTAAAAAATTCATCTATTCATCCCCATCCTGCAAAATTGAGAACTATCATATAAAGATATGTCAAAAGCTAAAACTTGAATATTCCCTCCTAAGTTAAAGATTGACAAAGGTTCAATATTTATTACAAGTATCCCATGCTCCTAAAGGATCTCTAGGCAAATCATGTTCACAGCACAAACTATTTGCTGAGTGTAATGGTAAAAGTGTGAACTCTGTTACCATTCCCACATTATTATTCCTTTTCACACAAAACAATCGAGTGTCTATTTCAAGATATGAATTTTTTTGTCTTTATAGTCACAAACCAAAATACGACCATCTGGTGTTGTAGCTATTGCTTTTGGATCTCCAAGCTTCTCAACAGTTTTGCCAATAAAGCGACCTTCCATTGTAAACTGTTGAATGCGTCCATTACCTCTGTCACACACCAAAAGATTCTGATGATCGCCATATTTCTTAACACAGATGCCCCATGGAGATGAAAACTGTCCATCAGCTTTGCCGTTTTCTCCAATCTTGTACAAGAACTTTCCTGATTCGTCAAACACTTTCAAACAATGGTTTTTACTATCAGCTACAATAAACTTGTTTTCGTGATAAATACATCCACAAGGTTGGTTTAGCTTTCCAGGGTCGTTGTCTCCAAATTTGAACATAAATTTACCACCTTTGTCCAAAACCTGAATTCTGTTGTTAGAGCAATCCGCTACAATGATATGTCCTTCATCATTTATAAAAATTCCTTCAGGTCTTGTAAATTCGCCGTCTCCAGTCCCCATCTTTCCAAATCTCTTCACAAATTTCCCTTTCTTTGCACTAAATTGTTGAATACGGCCATTATATTCATCCACCACCAGAAGCTCGTCATCATTCAGAAATGTCAATCCAGCTGGATAACCCAGCTGCCCACGCCCTTTTCCATAGCAGCCAAATTTTTGCATAAAATTTCCTTCCTCATCAAACATTAAGATACAGTGTTTTTTATGGTCACTTATAGCGATCGTTCCTTTGCTGTTAAAAGCAGCCCAATTTGGACTTTCAAGAATTCCTCCCTTTAGAAGTAACTCGCCCACAACATCAATCCTTCGTTCCTTTACGTGGACCCTGAAAGGACTGGTAACAAGTTTGTCGCCATTTATCTCAACTGTCATGTTGTAGGTGCCAGGTACTGTGGGAAAAAACTTCACGTGGATATCATCATTTTCTTTTCTAAAAGTTCTTACACTTGCTACATCTTCAGCGGGTTCTATGAGCACTTTTGCATCAAATTCACGCTGGCATTTACCTGTAAGCTCTTCTTCACCCTTTGGCTCTGGACAAACCAGAAGCTCTGCTTCCAGACCAGCTTGGATATTCTCAGTAAGAGTTCCCACTGGTGACAACCGTACATCTGTTTTATTGATTATCACTGACCCCAGATTTAGGTTGTCAAGTGCATTAGTCGAGAAATACTTCACGAATGAGCTAACCGGAAGTGCAGGGACTGTGGTCTTGTCGAGATCTCCACATCGCTGCTCTAAACTCTTCTTACTTTTCATAACATCTGCACTTGAGCTTCTCTCAACCAGGTCTATTGCGAACTGAACTGCTTGGTCAAGTTGTTTGATCAATGACTTTACTTGCTCGTTAAGAGAGTTTATATTCTCTATTCTAGACACGCGTGTATTCTCTAGGATTTGTATAGCTTCCCGCTCGTGTTCTCGAATCTTCTCGATCATTTGTTCGGCTGTTTGGGAAACCTCTCGTTTAGCAACTTTAACATTTCGTTCCAGCTCTTCAACAACTTTTTGAAAGGTTTCAATCGCATCGCTACAGACTTTCTTCTTTTGTTCTATTGACTCGACTGCCACTATAATGTTTGCTTTCTCGGTATCCGCTGCTTTCTCAATCGGATCAACATTATGATTCTTGTGATCAGTGTTTACGCAAACTT